CTCAGTCTTCACAAAAGCAAAGCCCAAACCACACCCACTGCCGTGGAGTCCATTCTGACCCACAGCGCCCCTAGAGGACAGAGTGGAACTGCCTCACAGGGTCTCCCAGGCTGTCATCTTTATGGAAGCCAACTACCACATCTTTCTACAGAGCAACTGGTGGGTTCAAACTGCCAACCTTTTGGTTAGCACCTGAATGTCTTAACCATTGTGCCACCAGAGCTCCTTTCTCTTAGGATGGGCCTTTGGAAAGTAGAAAGTTGAACATGCTTAAGAAGCCCCTAACTGGTGTCCCCTGAAAAGACACACATCACACACATGTCCACATATACAGTCAGTTACCCACCACCCCCTTCTGGACTGAAAAATACGAATTGCTGTTCTGTGGATGATAAGTAGACTAGGGCTTCCAGAGCCGTTGCATACAGTCTCCACTTACATAAGTGAGCTCCGAGGACACGGAACCGTGGAGGGGAAGTAGGGTTTGGAGACCTGCCCATCTTCTCAGTATGTATCCGAGAGGAACAATGTGTGTTCTAGTGTCCAGTGTTTGATGAGATTGTTTCCCTGGAAATTCGGATTTGTTTGCAAAGGTTCAGGAACCGGTTATGTGTGAAGGATGCTGGTCCCACATGCCGGCGATGCCAGGAAGGATGTTAGGTCATTGCACAGACTCGGTGTGCAAGGCTTGATTCCACAGAAACAAAAGTCATCATTTCCCCACAGCCCGATTTAAAAATAACCGAGGCTGAGCGTGCAAACCAGCTCGAGGGCGGTTTGGGAGGTTTCTGACAATGGGGCTTTACTGTTATGGATGTCGTCATTATTGTTAGGTGTCATCAAGCCAATTCTGTCTTACAGCGACCCCGTGTGACAGCAGAATGCTGCCCCTAGGGTTTCCTGGGCTGTCATCTGTACGGGGGCAGATTGCCAGGCTTGTCTCTCTCAGAGTGGCTGGGGGGGTTTGCACCACTGCCTTTTGGATAACAGCTGAGAGCTAAACCATTGCACCACCAGGGCCCCTTACCATTATGGATACAGGACTCAATGACTGTCTGAGGTGAACTAGTCTGTGATTGGTTCTATCCCCTCAGCACGCACGTGACGGGTGTTCTGTTAGAAACGCTGCATAACATCACTTGGAAATACGGCATCATGGCGGTGCCACGTTAGGCGCTCGGCTGGTCGCTGAAGGGTTGGCAGTTCGAACCCCACCCAGTGGCTGAGAGAAAGGTGTGACGATCTGCCCGGTAAAGTTCACAGCCTAGGAAACGTACGGGGTCATGATGCGTTAGGATCGACGGGACCACGCCCAACAAGTTAGAAATGGGCTTGCAGATGCCCTGAGGTGTGTTAACATTAACTGGGTCTGTTAAGAACATCACTGGTTCTTTTGTTCTGTTGGGGATTTGACATTGGAACACACGCGTGGTCACTGCAGGCACACACTCACGCAGACGCGGGCTGCTCCCCACCTGAAGCCGTCTCACTTCACCTGCTTGGAGAGGTGCACGGTTCTCACCTTCTCTCTCTCTTGCCTGGCCATGGTGGCGTGTTTGCACCAGTGAACGCCTGAAAGAGGACAGTGACAATGAAGGTGACGGGGTGCGTGCGGAAACTGCCCGGTCCCCAGACCAGGAGATCAGTGTTTGCTGATAACGGTGACGAAGCCCCTTGCTGTGGGGGGACGGATGAGGAAGTGCATGCGACTGATTTCCTGGTGGAGAT